TATAAGATTGATGATTATTGTTTTTAAATATTTTGATTGAATACAGGGCTACGAAGATTTATAATCAATTAAAATTATTAATTAAGAAATAGAATAAATATATATTAAATTCTATTTAAATGAATATTTAATATAAATAATAAGATTCAAATCTAGCCCCTACTGTTAATGTTGGCATGCTTAATGAGAGATGACATAGGTAGTTCGGTCACCATAGGTGTGAGGAGAAAGTTTTGCAAAATGAGTGACCAGTTGTTCGATATGTACCATATATTTTATCTTAGTTTTTGTGGGTATGAATGCGATTGGAAATTGATGAAAGTTTGAGCATCCTCTCGTATTTGTTGGCATGTGTGAATATTCATTGATTGGATTGTTTTTGAGATCGTATTTTAGAAAGATTAATATTCTATATTTCAACTTTCTTATACTTGGTGTTTTTTTAAAATCTTGATATAGTTTTTTTTTTTAATGATCTACTCTTTTTTTTTCTGTCTTATTGAAAAGATTTTTAAAGTCTAATCTTTCCAAGGGTTACTGGACTCATTGTAACTTTGATAGGTGACTTGTTTTGTTAATGAAATTGATTAACAATAAGACTTCCCAAGTCTTCTAAAAAAGTGGCAGCTTATAGTTATAATTATATAATTTTCTTTTGATTGCACTGGCATTTGTACAGGGCGTATTTCTTCTAAACAATCCTTAATTAATGACAGGTTTATTTGAGTGTAATTTTTAAAAAATAATCCTCGACTAGAATCTTTTCATTCTGCTTAAATATGTTGAGTTTTGTCTTTATAACATATGGAGTTAACTTGGAAACAATTGGTTCAGGAGGGCCTTACAGCCACACTAAGCAAACTTCAGATTTTCTCTGTGGTATGTTCCTTGATCTTATTATGAGTGTTTATTTAATTGGGTAGAAATTAACTTGATTTAAATTTTGAGTCACTTCTTTATTATTATTTATGATGCAATTAGGTTTGATTCTAATGGTTTTGATTTTTATTAAGGCAATTAAAAATTTATCTTGTTATTAGAGAAAACCTAAGAATTGATTCAAAATTTTATCATTGGATGCTATGTAAATTAATATTGGATCTGCCAGCTTATTAGAATTCTTTTATAAATTTGAGCTATGCATGCTTACATGTGCATGACTGATATACATTTCTACACAGTAGGCGCGTGCATGGGAAAATAGTTCTACTGAAAATAATTTGTGCTGAAAATTCTTTTCTTAATAATATTTTCGTGAAAGTATCCAGGTTTACTATTTTTGTTTGCTTGTTAGATGGTAAAGCTTTTTTATAGAGAAGGACCATGATAAAAAGGTGTAAAAAATTTTTAGATTTTTTTTTTTGAATTGGAGTTATTGGCATCTTACTAATCAAAATTGCATTCAGACTAACTTCAAGATGAAAGCTACGGGGCATTTTCAGTCTGAAGTTTTAGTGTGAATATATGTATACTCTTGATATGTCACTAGTTTTTGTGAGCTTTTGCTACAATGAAATTTGTCACCCTTGGCAAGCTAGGTTGAGGGTGAATGTATGGTTACTTTGGGCATAAATCAGTTGATTAGTTCTGGGCTCCATATGTATGTGTGTGTGTTTCTATATATATATATATATGTAAAGTTTATATTACTTCTTTTTTTTTTGCTGTGGCAGAATTCCTTATGTTTGTGATTTTATCTTGAATTCACCCAGATTTGGAGCGTGAAATGCATATTCCTTGGAAATTTTAGATGGGCTTTCTTATGGCGAGGATCCCTTTAAATTAGGGTTTTATCTTGAATGAGTCCATCATTGGGGTTATAATCTGAAATATGTTTCCCTTGTAGCCTTAGAGAGCATTTTTATTTGTATGAAGTAATTATCTTTATAATTGCGAGCTTGATTCTAGTGATAAATTGATTTATTTGTATTGATAATGATATTGCAAACACTTCTTGTTATGATATCTAATATTCGATCCCATAATTGAGTTGGGTGTTTCAAATTTGCAGTTGAGGTCTCATTAGCCTGATATTTTGATCCAATTATAAAGTTATTGAATATCTTGGAAGTTTTCTTTGGTTTCCATTACTGGGGCTTGTTGAACTGGAGAGGCTTCATAAGGCTAGCTAAACTATCAAATGTGTTGAGTAGGGCCTTATCTGATAAGGTTATCTATTCGGTTATCGGTAATCAAGAGCTCTAGGCTGGTGAATTTGCCATTCGCCAACTTTTTGGCTTTTTATCGAGGCTTTTGTAGCTTTGGAATTCTTTCTGCATCGCCTTTGAAACTTTCTAATCTGTTAGATATATTGAACATCAAGGGCTTATTTTTTGCGCATTTTAGATGCATCTAGAGTTGACCCTTTAAATTATTTTTTCTAATTACCTTATTTGTCATTGAGGTAGGACGTTTTAGAGTTTTTATTTGTAGGGGATTCTTCAATGATTTTGGTAACCAATTCAGTTGTGATATTCAATAATGACACCATATTTGTTAGAAGCCTACACAGACATGAATTTTTAGAAGCCTACACAGACATTAATTTACTTGTTAATGGTGGTTCAACGACTTAATATAATTTGATTTGTGTATGGTCGATCCAAAGAATATAGCTTAAACTGTTTTTCTTGATAGCCTCAATTTGATCTTTAGGTCTTGGTGTATTGGCATGCAAATCAAGACGTTTAATGCTAATACTAGTTGTGCAGCATTATCTTTTGCTTGTGAATTTTTCATTTTTAATTTCAGTGATGGTTAATTTTTACTTTATCACTTTGAGATCGACTCGAGAGCTTTCTGTTAGGTTGGCGCCTAGCCCAAGGGCAAATTAATCATTTGTACGCCTAAAGGGCAATTTAGTTTTTTTTTTTTTATTGTTTGGTATAAATAAACTTGTTATATCTAGGGTTAGTTTAATGAATAAAATTGGATTGTTAGTCTTAAGTTTAGGGTTTGGGATAGATTTCCTACCGATATTGTCGTGATTTGAGCTTACAGTTACACACAAAACAATATTGCACGTGACGACATATCCTGAGAAGGCCGCAAGGGATTGCGTCAAATAGAGATTCGATGTTTTCATCTTCTAGGCTGAGGGAATCACGACGAACAAAGACATGAAGCTCACATATTTTGGCAGCGCGCCGATCTGTGCACATACAATTGTGTTAGGTGCTACCTGGGAAGTGATGATGGGATTGACGTGATTTGGGAACACAATTTTGAGTAGGGGTGTCAAAAAAGCTCGTTGTTCACAAACAATTCGTGTTCGGCTCGTCGAGGAGTTCGTGTTCAATTCGTTCGATAAACAAACGAACGAGACGAAGACGAACAAATTTTTTTTTTCGTTCGGTTTATAAACAAACCAAACACAAACAATCATTTGTTCGATTGTGTTCAAGTTGTTATTGTTCGAAATATAAAATAATTTAAAATAATTATATATAAAAATTATCACATTTTAAAAATAATTATATGCTCTAAAAATTTATCATATTTTAAAAAGTTAAATCCTATAAATTATAATCTGATCTTCAGGTTCGCCTCTTAGCTTATATTAAATTCTATAATTTTGTATTTATCTTCAGGTTCATCTCTTAACTTAAATATTCTTATATTTCGTTTAAATTTATTTAGTTTCTTTGAGTGAAACCTAATTTTTGGGAGAAGTAAAATCTATCATATTGCCTCTACATCTAAATTTTTTATGGATGAGATATGATATTATGGTTTTATTGTGAGTTGCGTTTCGATTATTTTGCATTTGTGCTGTGATTCATACAAGTTTATGCATTAATTTCATATAAGTTTAAGCTTTTGAAAGATCTCGAACAATACAAACAAATTTGTAAGATTTTGAACAATTCAAACAATTCGAATAATTCCAGTCTGAACGTTTCAAAAATTTTAAAAATTTCAAACATTTCAAACAAATCAAACCGAACACGAACTGTAATTTTACGAATAATTTCAAACATGAGTCTATTTCAAACACACGTAATTTTAAACGAACCGAACACGAACACAAGCTTTGTTCGTTCGTGCTCGGTTCGTTTACACCCCTAATTGCGACTTATTCATGTGTTATAGAGCTAGTTGAGAAGAGACGATAGTATTCCAGGGTATAAAAATTTTTGCCTTTGAGATAGAAATTTTTTTTGGAAGAGATAACAAAAAAAGTAGATGGTCTAGAGAAGAAATTAGAGGAAGAGATGAGTTAATTTTAATCTGGTAAGAAAGGTTCACCACCATTAGGGCTGTAAACGAGTTGAGCTTGAGCAAGCTCAGGCTCGGCTCGTGCTCGACTCATTCGAAATAGCTCGTGTTCGAAATTGGCTAGTGAACAGTATGTTCGTATTCGACTCGATTTAAATATTCATGTTCGTGTTCGGCTCGTGTTTGACTCGAAATTGGCTCGAAAAAATTAAATTGAAAAAAATAGATGTAAAGTGTGAGATTCGAAGAACCTGAATCAAATGTATATAAAAGAAGACACTAATCCCATTACCACACGAGATGTTATGATTTAAACTTAGATATAAATATGTATAATATACTATTATATAAATAATTATATATTTTTTAATTTCGAGCTAAAACGAGCCGAAAACGAGCGAACAAAGAGTTGTTCGTGTTCGGCTCATTTATAATTTGAGCTTTAAATACTTGTTCATGTTCGACTCGTTTACTTATCGAACAAACCGAACACAAACTACTTAACGAGCCAAACATGAGTTGTTCGTGAACAACGAGCTTTTTTGACAGCCCTAACCACCATAGCTTTTATATGGTGAACCTACTGGAGGACCAATTCGAGAGCACGGAAGAAATTCGAGAGATGCTAAAGAAGCTCATTGAGATGCAATCCAAAATCCCACTGACAACTCATTTTGCAAACCTTGAATCCATGGCAAGAACGAAAGAGAAAGAGATTGAACGTGAGGAACATGAGGAAAACGTCCATTATCACACACCCCCTCTTAGGGCTTCGATTGGGAGAGGATTAAAGATTTTTTTCAAAATCGAACCCGGGGCCTGGAGTTAATCAAGACGTGAACCGACGGACAGATCGTAGAAATCAATTCTTGCTAATCTATTTCTATCACAAGCAGTTTAATATTCAAATAATACGTGAAAGTGAAAAAGCCACTAAAGAAATTAATTAAAATTAACAAGTAGAATTTTATACATTTACGTTTGTTGTTCTCGTCCTTTATACACTTTTGATTCCCTTCTGTTAATTTTATTCATATGCCTAAAACCTAAAAATATTATTAAAGCAACATGATGATTTGTCTAAGATAACCAATGAATAATCACACTTCTAAACTACAATAACAAAAAAAAATAAAGAATAAAATATGCATGCTGGTCATTCACATTTGTTTGTCCTGCTGTCCCTGCCTGTGACCCTGTTGGATGATTGGCTTGGCCTTGGTTTGCTTTTTTGGCTGTCCCTACCCGAGAACCTGTTGGATGTTGGCTTGGCCTTGGTTGTGCCCTTCTACCGTGAGCATCTGTCGGGTTTCCTTTGTGTCGTGATTAGGTGCATACTTCACTGAAACTATTGGTTTGGAATGAGATTGAGTGCTCTACTGTTCGTGAATTGAAATACTTTAATCCTTATGTTTGCAAGAGTTTTTGATGTCCCCTTTCGAGGAATGATCTATTAAATGCTTGGAGATAGTTCAAAGTCTAATTCATTGGGCTGAATTGATAAGATAAGAAACGAAAAGAATAAAAAAAAATCTTTTTGATCTTTGTTGAGGAAATTTTGGGAGCAGTCTGGAATCCTCTATAATATATCTTTTAGAGATGTGTCGGGATAGCAATTGGGGCCCTTCGACGTGTTTTCCTTTGAATTGTTATACCAGGTA